TTATCATAAAATAATCTTTCCTTACCAACTAAATCGTGCTCGTGTCTCGCGCATTTTATGCATAATTTGTGCCTCCTCGATACAACGGCGTCGATGCATTTTATGACTCGTGGCGCATCGTCTATCTTGCGATTATTGATAGAGCGACGTACATTGTCAGCGAATAAAAAATCCTGATAAATAATCTCGTGCGATGAGCATTTAATCGAGCCGGATTTATTATCGATACGATTGGACTTGATCGTACTATCAGGGCACAAAATAGTAACTGCCTCGCTAATGACGTCTCCTCTCTTGGACTGGCAATCAGACTCTCCGGCTCTCGTCAAATCTTCATTGGACTCGTCAAAATTGATTTGTCGTAGCTGTGGCATTACGAGGGATCTAGAGAAAGGTGATCTAAGAAAGGTGACGGGATGAAGGTTGTAATAATCGTTTGAGCGTAAATATGTGGGAAGGGATGCGTGTGTCTCCGTGCATTGTTGGCTCGCTTCGTCGCGACCGGAAGAGCCGGAGGCAATCGTCGAGCCGCTGTGCGCTTCTTCTACCTCATGCTCATCTAGGCTAATATATTCTACGTGTAAGTATCGGTGGTGAACACACGCATAGTCGCATCAATTAATGGTGGCTTCGTAATCGGATTTCGAGTCCTTTAAATCTCTCTTCAGCCTGTCCAGCTCATACATCACCTGAAAACAATACGTATCGTTTAGCTCCAGGGCTATTTCCATTTACCTTATACGAGCAAATGGAAAATGGAAAATCGATTGTTAATCGTTGCAATAATGCGTATTAAAAAAGTTTATACAATCATTGAGAAATGTTTTTATTAACTCAAAGCGTTTAAACGAGCATTACAGATTTTTTTTTTTCATTTGTCAGAAGCCTCACAATTTACAATGATAAATGAAAGACGAGATTTTAGCAGGAAATTCGTGAATCGGAAGAAATGAAAGCAACTCACCTCCAGTAATGCCGAGCCGCTCCAAGCTTGCGTGCGACAGCTGTCGGAACAGTATTCGCCATTCTTGTTGGTCAGCTCGGGTAGACCTCGCCACTGGTTCGTCGAGGCCTCTACGAGGTGTTTCGAGATAATGGCCTCGGTCGATGATACGGTACGTTTCAATTCGTCCTCGCCACCGACGAGAGCGGCGAAGTGCAGCCGCGCCCTTAGGAAATAGCCGAGGGGCCAAAGCCACTCGGGACCTTGGTGATAATTCCAGCCATTGGCGACCTTCGGGTCGTCCGAGTCGTTGGCATTATTGTAGTAGCCGTTGTACGCCCAGTCCGATGGATCTAGCGTCTTCATTCCCAATGGGCCTAATAGGATATCTTGAGCGTTCTTAAGGGCTGTCCAGGCGTGACGAGGCTCGAACAAATCCGGAGACTTTGAATATTGAAGAGAACACGAGGATAGTAAAGCGATTGTAAAGTGCGTCGAATTATAGATTTCGAGGACATTATTTATTGTAATTGTCAATGTATGCTCATTTAAGTTGCAAATAAATAAATAAATAAAGATTCAAATGCCATTTAATAATGGCCAATAACAATAAAAAGATTCCTCTTCGAAATAATTTATAGATTAGATACAAACGTCCTCTTTAAAAACATCCTTTATTTATTTATTTTATTTTTGTTTGTTTGTTGCTTTTATCAACTTATTTAAAAAATTTACTCACAATAATCATGGCAATTGGAAAGTTTGGTCGCAATTGGTAATCACCCCATGCTTGTGTTGCTCCATGAGTATCTTTATAAATACCACGTCTATTAATTAAATCGGGTCGTAATTCGCCTTCCCTTGGCACTTCATCGATGTAATAATAAAATTCAAAGTTTTCCTTTATTTTATCAGCCCACTGCTTGTAGCTCCAAGTAACTGTCGTCGTACCTTAAACAGTTAACAACAATTTTTCTTCCAATCTCTCTAATGCACAATTATCATGCAATCATAATTGATCCAAAAATATAAATACTTGTAATATATTTATGATTTTTATATTTTATCTTGATTTAATCTTCCAATAAATTTACTTATTTTTACAATAAATAAGGTTCTCCTATATCTGTTTTAGCATGATCATTATCATTAAAAAGGCATTGGTAAGTGACGATCTTTTAAAGCAATTTAAAAAAAAAAAAAAGAAAGATCATTCGTTTATCAGAGAAAAAGTAAAGAACGATGATAAAATACTTATGTAATCATGACATTGTAAAAATTTTTCAAATAATATTAATGAATAATTCGTACTTTGAATAGTCGACGGTATGGTGTATAATATCAACCACCTTATATAAAAGTTTATCGATAATCTGACTTTTATAAATACCATCTTGTTCTTTGCGCTGAACGCTGCCGTAAGGATATAGATTTTGCTTGTACAATTCCGCCAAGAAGTCCAAAGTGCTGTAACTCAATCCAACGATTTCAACGGCCGAACCGTCCCTTGGCGTTGCGGGTTTACCATTATTGCCGGCCTTCTCCGACGAGCCCATTTTGTCCATCCAAGTGCCGCAGTTGGCATCGTTACCACCAAACACAAAACCAGTGTCCAGGCTCACGCCAATCTGGTTGTTGAATCCGCGATCGGTCATGTGCTCGTCGATCTGTTTACCTGCATTCCGTTCGCGAAAAGTTAAACCTTGAAAGTGCACGGACAGGGCTTCCTGCATTACGTCCTGCAATGGTTGCTCCTGCAAGACATTTAGTCATTAATTATCAATTGTTTCAACTCTTATTCGCATACATCGTAATTGCAAATATAACTTTGCAGTTGAGCAAGGAACCATTTAAATTGATCCTTATAAAAGGATAGACAACAATTTTAGATGAGAGTATTGATAATTGAAAGAAAATGTAATTTGCATACATTGGCTTTTAATATGTAATGGATGAGAGTGAGAGATAGATAGAGGGAGAGAGAGAGAGAGAGAGAGAGAGAGAGAGAGAGAGAGAGAGAGAGAGAGAGAGAAACAGATGCTATTAGAATGCTCACTTTTAATTAACAAAAATTTCATTTTAAACAATTTTGGAGAAAAAAAAAAAGAAGAACATCAAGTGATCGCTGCTTGTTAAAGATAAATCATTAGAATCTAATCTCTTTCAATCCCTCTATTATTTTACTAACCATAAGATACACAATTATCAGAAAATAATTAAATCAGTTGCAAATATATTCTCAGTTAAGCTATAATAAATAATATTTCATTAGAATGATTAAAATGTACCACTTCTCCGGCTGGGAGTGCAGGCGAGTCGTCAGTTGGAAAAAGTCGCGTCACGGTATCCGATAGAATTTTCAAGCCATCTGGAACTTCTTTAATATAACACTGAATTGTATAAAACCACCACCACACGGCATCTCGACAATTAAATCTAGCAAAATAGTTTTTAAAATTTTTTTTCAATAATACTCACGACAATTCATAATGTCGATTAAATAAATTTAATATACCTGGCATTTGCGCCTTTATCCAAAAGATTTGGTATTAAGCCATGACGAAGTGTACCTGCATATCCTAAAATTATATATCTAGCCTCTTCGTATCTATTAGTTAATAATAATAAACCTCTAAGAGCTATAAACGTATCTCTTCCCCAATTTCTCACGTATCCAACTGCAAAGTGTGGCAATCCAGCGGACATAGTCGAACATTCCTGTTCTCTTTTACCATCGACCTCGCGAACTTTCGGCCTTGGTGGTTCTAAATTAGGCGACAGATCGGGTAATTGCGCTGACTTCACTATACCTCCCATTTGTATAGAAACTAATGATAATAATCTAGTAAAGTCCGTTCCCTCTTTTATAAAACTGAAAAATTAAAACATTTATTAACAACTGTCTGGTGAATTTATAAATAATGTGTTTATTGATTATTACCTTGACATTAAGCTAAAGCAACGTTCTATTAGAATAGAATATATGTTCACTACAATTACGTCAAAGTAACACGGCACTAAATAACGGGGAATTAATTTAAAAGGTTCTGTAGCTTGCTCCAACCATTTACCAAGATCAGCGGTGCCTCGATCTTCATTTAAACGTTGCCAGATGTAGTCTACAATCAAGAAATCAAATAACGAATCTTTAACAACTGATTCAGTGTAAAAGCCATTGGTCGGTAAAACTTCGGCTCGCGTATTAAAAATATATAATATCTAATGTATTATAAGCTTTGTTTTCTCGATAAAAAATTCTTAATTAAATTACGTTTTTTTCTTCTTCAATATTTACCTATTAACCAATTTCCTTGGCGAAGATTGATGCAAAGTGGATGCCCAAGATCGTTATTGGATCGAATTTCCGCAAGCAAAGAAATAATTCCTAGTAATAAATAATGTTTTGTAACATTAATTCAATCAAGGGGAAAAAAATATACAAACACAATTTCCAACACTGGCAATGTCTATTATAATAACTTTAACTACATTATTTTACCTAAAACTAATTGTGCACTGTTTAACGGATATTAAAAACTAATAATGAACCAACTACATAAAAACGTAGGAATTTCAAAAATAGCTTAAAGATAAAAAAACTTTTTTATTTGTTAAATTAACGTATGATTTACGTATTTTTAAATTAGTGACAGTGGCAAATTTACAAACTTACAAATACATCGGTAATATTTTTAACGTGGCTGCAAATATAAACAATTACGAGCAAATTGCGTCCTTATATAATTGAAAGATATTAAACAAATACCCTGTAAGCCAGCGTAAACGAGGGGCCCGTAACCAGGTATATTATAAACGCCAAATTTGTTTGCTGTCTCGTCGCGCTCTTCTTGATCGCATCGATAAAGTGCTTTATTGAGGTCGGCAAAATCCATGCGTGAAATTATTGTATGTAATTCTGAATTATTGGTCGACGTGACAGTGGAAACGACGTCGTTCAATTTTTCAAGAGCTGGCCGTATATTTGCATGAAGCGATACACTAAACAATTAATAAACACAATGCTGTACCGATCTGCTTTGAGGCGCACAAAAGCTCCTATTAATGTTCATATTTTGATAATTCCTTACCGAATAGCAAATACAGAACCGGGCTGAAAATTAATGAAATTTAACTGAGTTATTTTAGGATCGCCAGAATCAACTTTTTCGACCATTGAAGAATTACAAATTTGAATATGTTCCTTCATATCCGCTATATATTCCGAATAGCCATTTATATAATTTCTATTCCTTTTATACTTTTCAGGATTACAAAAAGCTTTACCGTCGCCTCTGCAAAATTATCAGATCGTTAGATACTTTTGTACGATGTGACAAAAGCGATAAAATATCTAAAGTACAACATAAAATAAAAAAAAAAAGATTTTATAGACCATATGCATGTAACTGTCATTTTTATGATGTATTACTATAAATAAGCGTGAGCGTATTATAAATATCATAAATCCAAAATTTTAACAATTTTACCAAAGCCACCAATTAAATAGTGAGCCGTTTAATTGAAAATTAGGTATAAATTATATATATATATATATATATATATATATATATTTATAATAATCTTTACTTAGATCGTTCATGAATTAATGACGCCTCGAGGATAATTTCTTCGACTACGCCTTCCACTCTTAACGGTCGAATGTTCCTCCGCAAGTCATTAGCATCCGGATCTGGATGTTTAAAAACTGTAAATGCTACAAGAACGACGCTTTGATGAGTCGTTGGTGAATGTCTAGTAATAGCCACTATATCCTCATCTATTTGATCGACAAAGACCTATAAAAGGATATATCATTTTATCACTTTAATTAATGTATAGTATTTGTATTTAAAAAAGAAAAACAAATAAATCAAAATAAATAAACGGAAGCTGAAAAAGTGAGAGAGAAATGTATCGCAGTTTACTTGTGAGAATGTATTCTGTCCAAGCCAAAAGTGAAGATCATTCAAAGCCTTCTTGGCTGGTATAAGAGCTGACTTAAAACTAACGTATTTTTCGTTTTCCTTTACTAGATCTTCATTGTCAATCCAGGACGTATATTGTCTCTCTTCGTCAACAACGTGAATCTACAAAATATCATCATATTATATATAATAATATTAACAATATTATATAGTGTAAAATTAATATTATAATATTTATTAAAATGTTTCAAATAAAAATTAATTTAATTTACCTTTATTATAATAGACAAAGTATACTATAAATATATGTTTTTTATATCGATAGCTTTATTTAGGTAATACTTCAAAATGTTTTAATATTTTATAATAAATCGATTTTTATTTCTTATGAGACTAGATTTTTTTTATAAGATATGAAAAAACAAATGCTAACGTCAACCGATTGTTAAGTTAGGAAAATTCAAATATATTTAACATTATTGATAATAGAATAAGTGACTATGATAGGCTTACAATATCCTCACTGTCGTCGATTAATAATAGGATTTCATCAATAAAGCGTAATAACAAATGTAAAAGGAAAAATCCAAGGAGGTACTGACGTGGTGAGGTATCATTTCGTCGTAACCACGATTGCTACCACTGGCACAACAAGCCATCGACACCAGTGCAGCACTAGGTAGCAGGTCGAAGACGCTGCGCTTTTCCACCGGAGTCGGATTGTCATGCGTCTGATCGAGAAAGAGAGCGTGAGCGATACCCGGGACTAACGGACAGTGTCGGGGTTGAATGAACGCTCCCACGGGATCCCCACCGAATCGGTAGATCAGCCGACCTTCTTCGTGGCTGTCCCATGCTGACATTGCCTCTAAAAATTATATTATATTATTGTAATCATGAATTGCAATGACAAAGCATCACGACCGATATATGATTAAGATCTTGTCTCACAATGACAAATAATAATTCCATTGTTTTATTTAAAAAAAAAAAAAAAAAAAAAAAAAAAAAAAAAAAAAAAAAAAAAAATAATAATATACTTACCCCTAATTAATGACGTTATGCCAAGACGATTAACAAAAATATTATCCTTTTGATCAGAATTTGTAAAAAGTTCGGCAGCCACGTACAAATCAGGTTTTACCGCCCTAGCACTATCTAGCATATACTAAATGCAAAAAATAAATGTAAATAATATTTTACAATTAATAATATTATGAGGTAAGATTATATGTACATACTTCAGCGACATGAATTGGAGTTGAATGGCAATTATCAAGCCTAATACCATCAAAAATTTTAGCTACTTGTAGAACATACTTTTGCATGTAATCCCAAAGGACCGTGCAATCGCGTGGATCATCACCGTACCTAAACAATTCATATAACATTATATAATAATTATATCAATAAAAATATGTGAGAGACTCGATATGAAATTTTCTATTTTCTACATATTCTTATTTATGCCAACATCTGCTATCGTTACAATTGTTTTGTTTTTTGTTTTTTGTTTTTCAAATCAAAATTAAGAAACTTTCATCCATATACAAACTAATATTATAAATGAAACAATATATAGACAAATTATTTATGATAATAAGTCAAAAATATATGATTCCAATATTTCTATACAAATAACAAAATTTTCATATTTTTTTTTTATTTAGTTAATATCATATCTATAGTTTATATATGAAAATTCAAATAAAATTCAAATTACTTGACAAGTCAGAGATGTAAGCATTTTACCTTAATTTAACGCTATCACCCCATGCTATAAGTTCTCTACGGAGGTAAATATTAGAATCAGAATCAGCAAAGTTTTTGAAAGGATCGCTGTTCATAACCCATCCATTGTGAGCCATTAAATGACGCCCATAATCCGAATACATTATACTTTCTCTTTGTGTAAATGACTTAGGACTTCCGAAATCTGTAAAGTATCTTTAAAAAAAAAAAAAAAAAAAAAAAAAAAAAAAAAAAAAAATTATTTATTAAAACAAACATAGAATAATACAAAATTTGATATAACAAGACATTCCATAAAAATAATTTTACCTGGATACAAGAGGATGTTTTTCGCTTACTTCCTTCAATTTAGGCCCATCCGTTTGTACCCTGAAATACCTAATACCGGCAATTACATTTTCTACAGCAGCGTTTAAATGATCTTCGACTTCCTTAATAATAGCGTCATTGAGTTCCTGCAATTTCTTCTTCAGATCCATTGAGCATTGCTTTAATCGATCATCCTCGCTAAGACAATCATTTCTAAAATATAAACAATTACGTTATAAATGTAAATATTTACGATCAAATTAAAGATTAATTAAAAATTATTTTGCTCCATTTAATAAACTTACTGCGATATATTATACAATTTTAATGCAAGATCCATATCTATCGTAGCTTTTAATCTACGATATTCAACATCTCTAATTATGGAAATACTTTCGTTATTTGTGGAATCTGCGTTTTTACGTTGTCGATTACATTTGGAAGCCATTAGTAAAAATTCCGACACGATTGCATCAATATCTGCAGTGTACAATTCATAGATTTTTGCTTGAGGTAAAAAATAAGTGTGCAGCGCGTGGCGTATAGACTAAAAAGGAGAATATCAGTGTAATGGTTAAGGAATATGAAAAAAAAAAAAAAAAAAAAAAAAAAAAAAAAAACCATCCTGAGACAGGACAGTAAGATGCAAGAAATTTCTATATTACGAACATTCAAATGATCTTCGTTTTCAATAATGGACGGAATGCCCTTGTCCTCCAATTCTCCCGACGATGTTTGCAATGTCAAGTCAAATAAAATAGCATCTAAAAGATAAGCGGGACGTAGATGGGGCGAGTTGATACAATTATAAGCACATTCTGGATTACTTAGTAAAATTGGACTTTCATTCGCTACGTGATTTAAAACTATATCACAAATACTTAAAACCTACGAAGAAGATAAATTAACGATCGTATGAAAATCATAGGAATAATAATAATAATATCTTAGGGTTGAATACACATTTTTCTTACCTTCCATTCCTTTCGTATTTTGCGTATTAATTTGTCGATATCATCAAAGGATGTCACTTGATTTGGAAAATCATGAAACGAAGGATTTATATTTAAGTGATCACTGATACTATAAGCTGATTTAGAGGCTCCTATTACCTAAATAAAAAAAGAAAGCTTCATTGTCGCGCAAATGTCCGTACAAAAATACATATCAACAATCCAAATCAATAAGATTTGATAAAACATTAATCCTAAATAAGATAAATGTCACAAAAAAATCAATAATTAACAATAGAATAAATTGACCCGAATTCATAAATTTTTACTATACTATTTTGTATTTTTTTGTTTTGTTTTTTGTTTTTTCCCTTCAAATTGAATGGAAAGATTATTAAAAAAATATTTGAAATTAGTAATACCTGTATAGGCGTAAAGTGAATCATATTATAACCGGATTGTTGAGAAACTTTTAATTTATCTTCCCATGTGGAAAATGGTCCCAATAATTTAGAAAGAACTGTTTGACATTGGATACAATCCAGTGGTATTTGATCATCGTTCGCACCAACTGTCAACTCTGGCTCCACTAACAAATAGCCGGATGAAAGTACTTTCCCATCATGGTCTTCTCTAAATAATCATATCGTCGTTAAATGCTAATCATTGTAAGTAAATTTTTACTATGCAATAAATAATTTCTTGAAAAAAGAAAATTGATTATTTACACAATGTATTAAGACTGATATAATATAAAGTATATAGGCATTAGAGTGTGTTCTATCGATCAAAATTATCGGCTAAATTTATTTGTAAAATCCATTATATTTGTGGACGATTATTAATTTTAATAAAAAAAAAAAAACAACAACAACAACAAAAAATACTATTGTATTCGAACTCGAAAATATGACAATTGTCTTACCGTGATTCTTGTATATAATAATGAAAAGAACCAGCGAGTGATAGTCGTAAGAATGCTGATTCGTGGCTCCATGGTAATTGGTAATACGTACATCTCTTGAACGGATCGCTAATTAATTGCGGATGATTCGTGAAAACATCAACATTATGTCCAAGAAGAGATGATCCTAATCTAAATTCTACCACCCATCCTATTAACAAAATATAAAAATGACGAGCTTATAAATTTTAATAATGAAATTTACACAAATGCACACAAGCGCATTAAATAGAAACATTTTTTTTTTTGTTTTGTTTGGTAAAAGTATTTTTTAAATATTAATATACTCTTATGTAACGGTAGTCTACCTTTCTTAAGTTTGTATAGATTTCCATCCAAGTGCTCTCCATTATTCACAGTTAGTACTCGGACTTGATCGTCATTTTGTGTGTCTGCAGAAAATCCAAGATTTTCCATGATCTGGTTTTTCCGCTAAGGTCAAATAAATTCTTTACTGAGTTGATATTAAAACATAATTGTCAATTTGATTTCATTACTATTTCATTCGATTATAATAAAACAATTGAAAGTTACGTATTTGTCGCGCCTTTAGCTTATACGAAAGTATATCGAAATATAAATAATATTTTAACTAACATCTATCAATAATCTATAATAATAATCTATCAATGGCAATTATATTTCTTAAAGAACAATATGAATGTGATATTAATTATATATATATATATATATATATCACTCTTGTTAATGAAATGTTGTTGGTAAAAATGTTCAATCCCTTAATCGCGAATAATATTTTAATTTATTATTATCAATCTATAGATAAAAATATATTACCTAATATTCACTGTTCTATTGAAATAATGAATAATATAATGAATAATTATATAAATCAAAGCAACTACTTTCTTGCTCCTCCTATTTCATCTTTAAAGCCGACTATCATGCTTAACAAACAAAAAAATATGCTTATTCGTTTAAAAATATGAATGTTTATGTTCAAGTTGTAATAGACATTCAGATAATATAACGGTTATAACGAGCAAATGCAATAATTATCAGACCAATTCTATACTATAATTTAATATAAAGTACATACGCGGCTAATCCGCGCAACAGAAAAGAGCTAACCAGTTGACTTTTCCGCTTAATATAAGTTATTAGTACAATGTAATTACTAAGCGTGCAAAAACAAGATATTGCTTTACTAAATTTCTGCTCTATGGACATGCATAAAGCGCTCGTTTATTGTTACAGTTGCTTGAGTTACATTGCTACTTTGTGTGGAAATATCCCTGTACTTTCTGACAACGACACCTCGATCCGGCGTTTCTCATCTACTTGAAATACAGAGAATATTTTGTCATTGCAAAAGAACGCTTCTAACGATTTATGATACCGATTAACACTTTACTGCCCTCGGATCGTCACGTTCATATAAATCTTCTATTTATAATTCATGTAAGAGGTAAAATAAAGTATATGTTTATTAATTGCTCTTATCGATTTTATAAAAGTAAAAAAGTTATATCACTTAATGGCACATGCGTTATAAAAGTATTTATAACTTAATCATCGACATCATCAAAACTTGCATATCCGCATACGTCACAAAGAAATTTTTGAAATTTTGAATAAATTTTCAATGCAATTTTATATCATAAAAAAGAATATTTCATCCAAAATAACCGGATTACAAGAAAATTACAAAAAAAATGTACACAACATTCTGTTTTATCAAATTATTACAAAAAAAAAAACTCTTTTTTTTGTTTTTTGTTTTTTTTTTTTAAATTCCTTATCACTTATTAAATAATATTTATGAATTCTTAAAAAATATTTATAAAAGATTACTCTAAAATTAAAAATATCTATAAGCTACTCTATTTCATGAGTTATATTATTCGTCATTATTTTGCCTTAATAAACAACATTATCAGGAATTAACATAAAATTTTTATGGATATAATTAATGTCATGGTATTCTTTAATAATGATATTTATTATAATTATTGATTTGTATAAAAAATTATTTGCCCATAATTAAGGAAAAAAAAAACAATTTATATATATATATATATATATATATGTGTGTGTGTGTCTATGTAATAAATAATCTTTATACATTTTATATTTATATAAGTTTCAAATTTTTTATAATTGGCACTTTTTCAAAATTTTATTAATTCACAATGTGTACTAAGTTGTAAATTAAAATGCAATTTTTTTTTTTCTTAACTTTACTATATACGCAATTCAATGCATGTTCTATATAGATAGATTTTGAAATATAAAATTTTTATAAAATATTGTAAATAATGGATTCGAAATGCTAAAGTTAATGGTGAATGGAACTTACGTTAAACCAAATTATTGTAAAGTATCGCTGAAAAAAGTTTGCTATCTTCTTAAAGAACTGTCGTGTAGATTCACATAATCGATTCTGTAGTGCACCCATTGTATTTGCCAATAATTAAATATATTAAATAAGGTATCTTTTACAATTATATTCTGGACTCCTGCTTTTTAAAAATTATTTATTATTACTTTTCTCATTCTTATTGTATTATATGTAAATGAAATATATTGCTTAAAAGAAAATTTCATTATCATCAAATACTTTATCAAAATGAAATTATCAAAATGAAATAAATACCAACACATATAAGAACAACAAATTTTAATTCAATTCTATACGGTTATGAGTTAATAATATATTATTATTAATACTACCATTTCAATAACGTCAATACAAATATTTCACTGTTTTTACTCATTTATTTAACATATTGACTATTTTTACTAATTTCTTTGAATTACATACAATTGAAAAATTCCATATAACACATTATATATATTTTGTCACATATTATAAAAAATATAAAATAATGCAAGTTTCTAACTATTTGTAAATATTGTTAAAAAATACAGAATATCTATGTTGTTATAAGTTTTTTTATCAATAATGTTTATAATCTCAAAGGTTTTGTATGGACTAATTGTTACTGGCCTAATAACCAAATTGTTTTAATTATGATTTATATAATCATTTGCTATTAACATATAAATTAAATAACTATTACAAGATTAGCTTTAATATTTCTTTATTTTTGCTGACATAAACACTGTTGACATATTAAAAATTTATATATGAAACATATTAATGATAATAGAAATTAATTTAATTATATACAAATTGATTATAAATTATAATTAATACAAATACATGGAATGTATATAATTGAGCATGCAATTGATATATTAAATACTACATTTTCTGAATATAATAGAGTATGAGGTATGTATTTTCATGTAATATTTTTTCCCATAAATCTAATGAACAATGTATATTAATAAATATTAGCTTGACGTTTAATAAACTGATGTAAGCAAATGTGTAATTGATCATGTGTGAACAACATCCTTTAGTATAAAAAGAAAATTTATCGATGCAGAATCAGCACGTAAAATCAACTATTTATTAAAAAGAGTTAAAATTTATACATGCAGAATTTATTTGATCTTATTTACATGCAATAAAAAATAAGTTTGTTATGAACATTTGTACAGACACAAAATTATTCATTATTATATGCATACAAGCGCACATGCACGCACGCACGCACGCGCGCACACACCACGCACACACCACGCGCACACCACGCGCACACCACGCGCACACCACACACAAACATATATATATATATTCAATGTAGGAGAAAAAATCCTGTCTTAAATTTAAGACGAAACATCGATAAATTATTAAGCGATTATACTAATTTAAGTCTTGATTCGAAAGTCAGTGTTTAAGAGTACTTTTAGGTTAATAAAAGAACGTCTTAACATAACATTGCTCATACACGTGAAACGTGCATGCTTTTTAGTAATAACAAGGAAGGCATTAGAATAGAAATATTTGACTTTCCCCACACTCAATATAAATGTAGACAAAGGCACGGCGCACAAGTGTCGAATATAACAATAACAATATGAAGCGAAGCGAAGCAAAGGCTGGTTATAACGGCTCTTCCTAAGGATTACGATAAAATAAATGCGAATCTTTATCAGAGTACGTTGGCAGAGGCTTTTAATTAATAACCGGCCGATTACGACTGAGCAGCTAAATAATCACCTCCTCCTCCTCCTCCTCCACCACCACCACTACCACCCGTCGACCAGGCTGATTCGTGGAACGTAGGAGCTGATACCTCGGTTATTGACGGCTTTGTTTATTCGACCTCTATTAAAATTAAGAACAGTACGACGAAGGTCACGAGCACGATGGATTGGGCTTGTTGCCCCCGTGAGGTCGGTAGCCGGAGCTCAGGCGCCCCGTACCTTTAAATCAACGGAGCAGACGACGTGCGAACGAACGCAAAAGAGAATCGGCTGCGCCCCCGATTGGCTTCTCGGCGGGCTTTACAAGCCTCCTCTTCGCACTCACACGGCCCATCAATTGCTTATTCATCCTATTTTCCCTTTTACCCCTCCCGCTCAATCACTCGCCCGCGATGCTTACGTCTTACGACTTTTAGGCACGCGCACCTTCTACGCGACTTGGGTATCCCCACAATAAGCACGATTATCAAAGCGATTAAGCACTCCCAATAATCCAATTATACCAATGAATTATCTATCCGCAATCAATATTACATATTTAAATATCGATACCGCATCTTTCACGAAAGTCTTCGATTTATCATTACTTTTTATCTTTCTTTGCTGAACTTCAAACGATCGAATATAATTTTTATTTAAGGAGCAGCGCTAACTGTTTACTAAATAAGTATTTTACAAATTTTACACAAAACGATTGTCATTTAAATGTAAATTAATGCCAACTTACTTCCTCCTTCTTGGCTTATCGTCCATTTCAATTACAATTTAAAAATAATATTGCTTTAAAACATTATTTTATTTATCGCTCAATTAATTCGTTCTTATTGTGACTTGATCCTTTTTTTTTTTTTTTTTTTTTTTTTTTTTTTTTTTTCGAAATAGATTTTTATTAAATTCGTAGGCTGTTGTCATTACATTGGCCCATGATATCGTTAAAACATTATTCTGCAATATTCAACTCTATAAACCATATCGAAAATTTAAATATTTCTCCTATATAGGATCGTCTTTATTTATTTATTTTAATTTATTTTATTTTATTTTATTTTATTTTTTTTCATTGTATCCAATTAATGGAAAAATTTTTATTTCCATGTATCCATTGGAGAAGAAACAACGAAATTTATGTATAAGGACATTGTGCCGAAATATTCATTATTAGCGTTGCTCGATCGTATATACAATAAACCTTGGAAAGTAAATGCCCCTTTAGGATGGAAAAACTTTGCAACAAAAATCAAAAATCTTGGAAATTGAAAGCGATTTATAAGTTAACGATGACACCAACAACAATTATTATAAGCGATAAATTTATGTAATTGAATAGTTAAATTTAATAGATTGAAGCGATTGATGTTTTTGCAATATGCGACTAATATTTATGAAAATTTTCAATTTGCTATCCTTCATATTTTCGTTCCGGAAACGAAGAAGGCATTATTTAAATTACATTCATGGATTTGGACAATTCATATTGTTGTAAAAGAATAAATATTTAAATAAACGTATATAAGGTTTAAAAAAAAAAAAAAAAAAAAAAACCTAATATTAATAATAATAATAATAATATTAATAATTAATAAAATTGAAGCAATTTCATTAATTTTTTTTTAAACAATTTTACGCTAAAATAATAATAATAATATTGAATCATTATAGAATTACGGTTAGATAATCATACGGATAATGTTGCAGTATTATCGATATCAAAAAAATTCAGAAAAACAAGTTTTAATAAATTGTTCAATAAGAATTTTATCAGAACATTATCGTAAATTTCAAAGTACAAAAACTAAAATTTATTTTCCAACAATATTTATATATTTTAAACGATTCCTTTTTCACCTAAGTTTTTAATGACAATCAATTATTTTTTCTTTTTCTTCTTCTTCTTTTTCATTTTCTTTTTCCTTTCCTTTTTCTTTTTCTTTTTCTTTTTCTTCTTCTTCTTCTTTTTCTTTTTCTTCTTCTTTTTCTTTTTCTTTTTCTTCTTCTTCTTCTTTTTCTTTTTCTTCTTCTTTTTCTTTTTCTTTTTCTTCTTCTTCTTCTTTTTCTTTTTCTTCTTCTTTTTCTTTTTCTTTTTCTTCTTCTTCTTCTTTTTCTTTTTCTTCTTCTTTTTCTTTTTCTTTTTCTTCTTCTTCTTCTTTTTCTTTTTCTTCTTCTTTTTCTTTTTCTTTTTCTTCTTCTTCTTCTTTTTCTTTTTCTTCTTCTTTTTCTTTTTCTTTTTCTTCTTCTTCTTCTTTTTCTTTTTCTTCTTCTTTTTCTTTTTCTTTTTCTTCTTCTTCTTCTTTTTCTTTTTCTTCTTCTTTTTCTTTTTCTTTTTCTTCTTCTTCTTCTTTTTCTTTTTCTTCTTCTTTTTCTTTTTCTTTTTCTTCTTCTTCTTCTTTTTCTTTTTCTTCTTCTTTTTCTTTTTCTTTTTCTTCTTCTTCTTCTTTTTCTTTTTCTTCTTCTTTTTCTTTTTCTTTTTCTTCTTCTTCTTCTTCTTCTTCTTCTTTTTCTTTATCTTTTCATATTTACCAACAATTTTACATTCTATTCAATAATTATTTATAGAAAATAACTTTTAATAATTATAATAGTTAGTGTGGGCTTTAAATTATATCACGTCACTTAGACTATGTCAGATTAATAATAATTTAATTAATAACTTGTAAAAGCTATTGCAATATATAAATTATTATTTTTTCTTTCTTTCATTGAAGTTTAACGTTGTATTAAAGATGGGATTTTTTTTTTCAATTAAATCGCCGGATCACAAATATATGTCGAATCTACCGTTCAAATAATGAATAAAATTCTAAAATGTTAAATGCATAAGAAAATTGCTTTTTTCAATAAATTATCAATAAGCAATTATTAAGTGTATTTCATTCATAGATATATTTAATTGAGAGAGAAGAAAAAAAATTGGTGTTAAAAAATACGTATTCTCTAGCTAAATTATAACAATAATTCCTCGATTATTTGATACTTTTTTTGCCTTCTCAAATTATAAATTTATAAAGAATTTCAAATATATTGTATCATTATGATTGCGCAAGGCTTCTCTTATATCAAGGACTCGGTACATTATAATTTCGGTGTGTACGGTAATACGAAATTTCAACTTCTTTATTTAAAATATCAACTAATTCACCATCTTTATAACAATTAATTATAACATTTTCCAACGTATCGTTTCATTAATTCAGACTTGGGAATTGGAATCGTATAACGCTCTCTAGGTAATACGGAGTTTAAAATTACAGCGCTCATTTGTAAATCATAATGGTCGGATGTAGCATATAATAATATTTAATAAATAATAATTAATAATAATGAACACGATAATGGTGAACCTCGTATAAAATGTTGTCCATGTTGGGAAAATAATTAGTACTATCTACGTCGTTCTCTTTCCATTTTGAATAAATGGCTCGATTATTTCTCATTGTTGCGTTAGCGTTAAAAATTTAAGTTCAAAATGCCTCGTCACATCGGCTTCATTAATGATAAATAATCACATTGGCGGAACATGGTTTTGAACTGCAGCGTACGTCACACAAATCCGTTGATAATTTAATCGCCAAAATGTCATATGCATGTGTTGTATATATGAAAAACACGTGATAGTGATACGTAGCGCTCCCGACTTGCTATCATCATAAGTGATCGAAAATTTTTTGTAACTTTTACACAATTTTCATAGTTTTACATAAATATGCGCCGTTGATTTATTTTATATAAATTTCTCATTGCTTGTAAGTTGAATGTAAAATAAATGGATGACGATTATACAACACAAGGTAAATTTATCATATTTTTTGTTATAACGTTAAGATGCTTGTAAATGTAATTTCAATCGTAGCGTAAAATAATGAAACAAAAAGTATAAATTATACGTGCATTTGTTAATCGTCGTATAAATATAACGAACCCTTTTTTTTTTCTTTTTTTCTTTTTTTTCTTTTATTTTATTTTATTTTATTTTATTTTATTTTATTTTATTTGATATTGATTGTATGAAAGTGTGTTTGATAATTGTAAGAGTAATGAAATTATAGCAAATTTATTCATGTATTTTAATTATCATAGATACATCTACCTACACAGATGGATATCAATCAAATTCTTTTAAAAATATTCAGCTTAATCATACCTATGAAATTGATAGAAGCAATAACCTAACTTTTACAAGAGTAAGGCTTTTCTTTCTTTTTTTTTTCTATATCATTATTAATTGCATGTTTGAGTAATGCTTAAGGAGTTATTTATAAATGTTAAATTTTCAGGATAAGGATTATTCTTCATCCGAACGTATAAACGAGCAGACAAATATATTTTCTTGCAACGATAACGACGAAGCTTCCGGTGATAATATAAAGCATCATCCTTCTGGATCGCAAAGATCGATTGTAGACGAAACGGACAAACATTTGGCGTGTGAAAATTACGATTATGAGAATAGCAATATGCAAAATGATGAATATTTATTAAATATAAATCAAGACAATATAAATAAAGATGATCGCGAGAACGAGGATTCCGGTTGCTGTACGTCCAACGATTCAATGACATGCTTAGATGTTTGCTGTACCTGCTTCTGCCTATAAATGAGCATTATGACAGCGAGGAATGCGAAAGTATTAAACAATTAATGCTACGAAATAAACATATTTTATCATTTGTTCCAGGTTTGTCATTATTTTTGACAATAAATTAATTTTGTTCTCTTTTCCTTTACAGATATTTTTACAATAATTATATTCAAGCACAAATATCAATAATGTTTGTTGAATATTAAGACATTTCTTACAATAAATCTCAATTGATCAAATCAAATTGATAGTATTATATAAGAGACTGAGCCATTATTAAAATGTAAAAATATACTATACTATGGGTAAAATTTAGAAATATATTTTTGTATTATTATAGCTATGCAATTACATAAAACATGGATAACTTTTTCTACTTTATTTTGTAGATTATACCAAACAAAAATAAACAAAAACAAAAAAAGAACAAAAACAAAAAAAAAACAAAAAAAAAAACAAAAACAAAAAAACAAAAAAAAAACAAAAAAGAGGAATGCAACATGTTTTCAAGATTGACTGCTCCATAACAGTTAAAATAATTTGAAAAACGTACAATGCCAGATTTTAACTACTTTTGAAAGCTCCTGAAGCTTTTAATTTTATACATAAATTAAATATTATATTTTTTTAAATGTAAATATATAATAACAAATTATATATTTTTTATAAATTTCGAAAAATCTTATATTTATAAACATTTTCATGAAGCTAAAGATAACAAAGATCTAAAAAATATATTAATGTACTTGTTATTGATATAATAAAAGAATTGACAAATTGACAATGGATTTTATTTCGTTGGTTTTATATTATCGTGTTATTCAATCAAGAACTAGTTAATTAATTCGTATCTATTCATCCAAATTCTTATTATTATCTAAATTTCTTTAGTTTTTAAAAAATGATATTTATTACGTCGTATGTTTAGCGTGTGATGAGAACTTTTAATTAAGAAAAATTATAATACATTTTACTTAACTTAAGAGTAGGCTATAAAACTTTAAAGTTAAACAATTAGTTAAAAGATAATTAATTTTTTCACAATTACAAACAAACATTCCTTCTATTTTATTCTTTAATGAATTAGTTACAACATGTCTTAAATAATTTATTGCATAATAACATATTAATTATATATACGTATAAATTGTATGTGTTTTGTATATTTAAATATTAACTCTACATCATCTTCCGCCTTTGTAATTTATGAGAAAGATACGTAACACTATAAACTTTGCTTTTTTTTGGACTTTCACATAATTCAATTTATAATATGATATCGTTTAATTTATCGCACCGTTTGACCACAAAATTAGACTTTAAGTATCTAGAGAATAATATTTCAATCGATTAGCGCTCCGTATTATTTGAAATAGAAATTTGATGAAAAAAAAAAAAAAAAAAAAAAAAAAAAAAAAAAAAATCCCATTAGTATTGAGAAAATTTATATATTTTCATATTAGAAGAGCGACTTAATGTATAGTCATATTTATAAAAAAAAAAAAAAAAAAAAAAAAAAAAAAAAAGTAAAAGAAGCATTTCGAACAGAACACATTAACTGTTAGAGGATTTTATTCAGAAATAAGCATCCGGAAACGTAAATCGAACAGCAAAATATAAATAAGAATAGTTGTTGAGTCGCGACTTGCAATTTAATAAATATAGCTACGGCTATTATCGTATTATTGAAATAACCGAACTGCGCGTAAAAATCAATGATTTTCATTATGAGACAAAGTTGAATCAAAGAAAAATCGGCAAATGTGGAGGCGACTGGAAGCTTTAGAAATTTAAATTAAGCCGCGCAGAGAAATTATCAGTGTTCCCAGTGGGAGAAAATTTGTATCCAAACAATCGTTCATAGCTACTAGTAAATACAGATACTAATAATTGCATTTACATTGTAAATAATTTGTAAGAAGGCGTCTTAACCCGGTCAGCTAACTGGCCATTATAAAATATCAAGTAAATTTGTTTAGAGAAATTTTTATTTTAATTCAAAATAATTGTTGATTAAGCTTTGGAAAGTAATCTATGTGAACATACATGTTTTGATATTTTAACTGAAACATCTGAACTTATTATAATTATTCTTTAAAGACTTTTTACAATAATTTTTTGTATTATTGTGTATTTAAATGTAAATAGATAGTTTTGACAATTCTTTTGTTCTTTCAACGAAGCTAACACGATAATTTTGTCGATAAATCGATGATCATGGCCAATGTGGATGAGACTGAATCGATGAAAATTCAATTCAAGAAGAAACAACGCAAACCTATGAGGAAACGAGATGTCTCGGATGACAGCTATAGTGACAATGAAGATTCCGTTGTCAGGTAAGTGATTTAATTATCATTTATTGAGCTTAATTGTTAAGTTAAGATGGACGATTGATTAATTTCAGATCAAAATTAGATGAACTGAAAACTATTCAAAAGCTGCGAAACCGATCGAAAGGTGTAAATGTTGTTGGTTTGGCATTAGGTGAAACTGCAATCAATACAATAACGGTATATTTAAAAATTATTTATAAATTTGCACAAAATGTAAGCAATGCGTTAAGTTTTCATTACATTATATTTTAGTCGGATCCATTTAATGTTAAAGCCGGAGGAATGGTTAATATGGCTGCATTAAAAAATAATAAATTAAAACAGGATGATGCATACGATACAGGTATTGGCACACAATTTAATGCAGAGACCAACAAACGAGACGAAGACGAGGAAATGTAAAATTTGTGCATATGCTTAGTTGTTAATATTGTACAAGTTATGAAAATATCGGTTTCTTAATTATTTGTAGGGTTAAGTATATCGAAGAGGAACTTTCGAAACGAAAGAATAAAAATACAAGCGAAAAGGATGATAATATATATAAGAGAAAAGGATCATATTGTTCACCAGAAGAAGCTGCTCTTCAAGCAGTTCCAGAACACCTAAGGCAAAGTTCTACGCATAAAAGTGAGGAAATGCTGTCAAATCAAATGCTTTCAGGTATCCCTGAAGTAGATCTTGGAATTGAGTAAGTATAGCAGATATTTATATATTTTCTATACATAAGGAAATAAAAAGTAAATTATTATTATAGTATATACTTTTTAATGTTTCAATTTAATATTTATAATTACATTATGTAATAATAATGTAATAAATAAACAATTTTCAGAGCTAAAATACGTAATATCGAAGCTACAGAAGAAGCTAAATTAAAGCTTTTATGGGATAGACATAGGAAAAAGGATGGCCCTTCACAATTTGTACCGACCAATATGGCTGTAAATTTTGTGCAACATAATAGATGTAAGATATTATTGTTCTTATAATAATTCTCGTCTATAGATCATATAGAATTCTAAATTAAATGTATTTTCTTAAAGTTAACATTGAAGATACGGACGCACAAAAGAAAAAACAAGAAATAGCTGCACAAAAACAAGTTACACATATACCACATACTAAAGAAAAGCGAAAAGACAATGAAAAAGCTACCGATGACTACCATTACGAACGCTTTAAAAAGCAATTCAGACGTTTTTAATATTATACCGAGACTGTGATGTAACTGTATATAATATAATAAAAGTTTCATTAACTTTTACTATAATTTCAAATATGGGTTATTTTAAAATAGTTTAATATTATAATTTCATTATATTATTGTTAAGTAATAATAAAAATAAGAATAATTTTTATTATCATTTTAGTATTAAAATTATTAAGCGAATGAGAGTATAAAAATATATTTAAGAATATAGTATTTATTATGCGAATAGAAGACAGTAATAGTTGAACCTTAGCATCATTTAACTGTCATTAATTAAGTTATAGATAAGAGAACATTGAATAGCAAAATCTAACAACTACATACGAGAAGCCTTAGAACAGTTACCTAAAGAAAATTACCTCGCGCTATTATAGATATAATTTTCTGGCCTACTTGCCAATTAGGAGTATTCGTTATGTCTTGCTCGTAATGAATTCTTATATTAAACATTTTTTAAATTAACAGTAAGATTGAATAAAAAAAAAAAAAAAAATTATTCCTTTTGCAATATCAAAGAAAAATGGAAGAATCTGTTGCCTTTCAACGGTGTAATAAATAATTATAATTGGATATTTTTCAATATATGCAATATAATACTTATGTATTACAATGACTAAAAAGCTACTGCGTTCAAATAACTAAGGATAATGTAGCTTTATTCAAACTTTTTATAATAAGTGTAATATAATTGTAGAATTTAATATTTGTCAATAATTGTTACTAGTGCTATTTAGAAGAATAGACTTTAGATTTAATTCATTGGTTGTTTTTAAAATGACATCTGTCCATTTAAATTCAAATAATTTAAAATATATTTCAAATATTTAGGATAATTTATATTGTAAATGTTGTGCATCAATGTTTTCTGAAACTGAAAATAGCTTTAACGTTGATATGTTTGTAATTGGAATTGATAAAAAAATTATGGAGAAGTCGTTTTTAACATATGCAGTTAAGATAAGTAATACGTTTTCGAAAAGAAAAAAATCATTTAAAACAATAAAATAATATTTAATGAAAATACATTGGAAAATAATTTATTTACCAGGTTTTATTGAAGCAAGTATTTTTAATTGCCCCGATCTACAGTATTTAAATATTATGTTGAAAAAATTAAAAATGATGCATTTTACTAATCCATTATTTATTCATTGCAGGTAAAATTTTATTTGTTTTTTTTTTTTTATTTTCATTATTTTCATTAGCGTTTTGGTTATTTAATATAAAAAATTGTTTGTAGCTCAAAACAAAATTTACTAACACAAAATAATCTTCAAAACGCATTCAATCTGAGAATCTTCGAAGTATGTATAAAAAAACTAACTTTCATACTTTCCATCTGTCACACTACATTATACAATTTTCATTTTATTGCATTTTAAATTTCATATTTAAAGAATAATTATAGTCGTAACATATATTGCCATATGAAATTAGAATTTTTGCGATAATAATATCGCGACAGGCAACTACATAGACCTTCTGAGAATTATACCGATTAGTTTATTATTTAAAGACAAATTTTGCACTTCAGTTTTTTATTCGGTAAAGAACAGACGGTAATACGACATATCGACAGCTAAGCGGAATAAATATTAATTTCAAATATCAAGAAAGTAAGGATTATCCTTCGAAAGTAAAGAAAAATTAACAAAAATTACACAAAAATTACACAAAAATTACACAAAAATGCAAAAATACGAAATTTATTTATTCCTTCATAGAACTGTAAATAAAATTCAAATAAACATTTTTTTCCTGTGACTAGCTTCCATTGTCTACTATTGTTTTATGTGCATGTCGATAGAAAATTTAGTTTTTGCGCCGGCGCATTTATTCATTAATTTTCCTTCAAAATGTCATTTTAGTTGGGCGCGCATCGCTATCTATATCTACATAAAGAAAAGTATAGATTCACCTCCTTTGCATATACGATTAAATATAAATTTTGTATTAATTCTATTTGACATAAATTGTTGACAACATTGGCAATATTGGTTTACGAACAAGTTTTCCATAATATTTGTTACACTTTCTGGGTAGAAGATCGGGGCAATCATTTCTCCATGATACACCTACACCCGCGTAAATATAACACACACACGCACGCACGCTTATATAGATCCACTCGTCGGTAATAATATAGAGAAGCGCCTTAGCGTCGTTTGCTGATTATCGAGTGCATTTCTACAATCTCGTATAAGGTTTTGTATCCATACTTATTCAGCGAAGTCAGACGATTCGTCGTTATAATTTATTGTTTTATTATAGTTATTATGAACACTTGCGGCTTCGTTACTTGTGGCCCTAACGAGGCCCTCGTAGTATCAGGTAAAATAAAAGCTTAATTTTAATTATTCTAAATTTTATTTCCACCCTCTCATTGGGTTGAACATTTAATTGTCATGATAGAGAAAATTCTAATATTATTGAAAAGTGCAATTTTACAATTATGTTTCTAGTAAGAGTAAACTTGCTTTTTGCAATTATATGTTCGTACTGACGTAGTTGTATTTAATTTATAAATTGGTTGAACAAACGTAAAATTGTTAAATGGTCAATTTAATTCGTTACCATGTTGTTAGTTTTTATTATTATATACATATTGTTATATAGTTCAATGTATTGATATATAATTGGAAATATAATTGGAATTGACTTATACTTCCCATAAATTAAGTTATCGCTATATTACAATTTTTTTTTAGAAAATTTCCCCTTTTTAATACCGATTTCAGTTGTATATTAAAATAATTCTTAACTGTTCGCTATTAAAAAGCAACGATAAATATTAAAGACTTTTTATAATAAAATTATTTTATTGATATAAATTTAAATGAAAGCTCTTTGAATATTGAATTATTAAACTATTTGTATAATTCATTTCAAATGTTCACTCTTCATGTTTCTTATCAAATTTTTTTTATGAAAAATATATATTACAATCAATAATTGGTACTGTTTAATCGATGTATTATATAATTTTATCATTTTTATGTTTAAAATTTTAAATAAAAGATATTAAAATCTGTCGATATAACATTTAAAATTAAATCTACAATCAAATGATATTTAAACACATTTTTATATTTTTTTAAATTCCTAGTTTTATTAAAGCATTTTATTAACTTATTAACTACATGTGAATATAAATGTTATATATTTCTTTCTAGGATGTTGTTACAGCAAACCACTGTTAGTACCAGGAGGCAGAGTTTTTGTTTGGCCAATTGTTCAGCAAGTTCAAAAGTAATTATTTTTATTTAAAAAACTGGTTAATACCTATTCGTAATTAATAGTTTATAATAATTTTTTTGATAAAGTAACAATATGTATGATTCAATATTAAATTCAATTAAATTCTATCAATTTTTTATTTCGTTTTATAGGATTTCTCTCAATACCATGACTCTACAGGTTGAAAGTCCGACGGTATATACTTCTCAAGGTGTACCAATATCGGTAACAGGTATTGCACAAGTAAGTAAAACTTATAAAACAAATTAGAATTAAATAAGGGCTGTGTGAAAATAAAATTATTTATAATCGTAATATAATCAATTATTTGAGGGTTAATAGCTATGTAGATAAATGATTACATTAATATTGATATTTTTTAAATTATTTATAGGTTAAAATACAAGGGCAAAATGAAGAAATGTTGTCAACGGCATGCGAACAGTTTCTAGGTAAATCAGAAGCGGAAATACACAATATTGCTCTCGTAACACTGGAAGGTCATCAGCGTGCAATAATGGGCAGTATGACTGTCGAGGTAACAAAAACTACAAAATCGTATCAAATTCACAATTAAATTAGAATAAAGCTTTAATTATATGAATATTGAAAAATTTGAATCGCTTTGCCAATTATTAAATTTCAATTAATTAATAAAATATATTATAACTTTTAGGAAATTTACAAAGATCGTAAAAAATTTAGTAAAGAGGTTTTTGAAGTTGCCAGCAGTGATCTTGTTAATATGGGTATAACTGTAGTATCGTATACATTAAAGGACATTAGGGATGAAGAAGTAAGTTTTTCATTCGAATACTTTATATAATTTGCCATTTAAAATTTTTTTAAAATACTTTGTAGTTTAAATGAAATTATTTAAGGCCCTTTTTTTTATAAATATTGCTAAGTAGAGATTTTGCAATTAGCTTCAAAATGCTATAAGTCCCCCTTTAAGTACGAATCAATAAGCAATTTCAAGCTCGTTTAATTTTATAAAATTAACTATACAAATAAACAAATATACAATATATTTTTGTTTTACTACTTGCAGGGGGCAAAGGTATGTTAACTTTTTTGTTTTCTTTTAGCAATTATATATTATCAAATACTTTTGTATTAAGTAGATTTGAAATAAAATAGTAATTTGTACAGTTTTAAGCAAAAATATAATTCGTTACTTTTGTGTTTGCTTCATATGTAAATATTTATTGTCTTGCATATATGTTATAAAATTCTATATAAAATTAAAGGGAATATAAAAGTCATTTGGATATATTAAAATTTTATTATTATAAAATTGGATATTTTATATATATAATCAATTAATTTTATATATTAAAATATAATTTTATAAATTCAAATTATAATATTAATAAAGCATTATAATCATTCTGGCTTATATAGTTTTTGTAAGAAACTAATTATTAAATAAAAATTGTAGAAATAATTACAAAATATATATTTCTACAAAATTCTGGTTTCAGAGCCTAAAAGACTCTGAATTTAAATTACCTTTATATTCTCAAGTTATCCTTATAATACCAATGTAACTATATATCAATAACAATTATATGTACATTTAGTATTCGCTGTATAGTAATTTTCTACTGTATCATTCACTTTACATCAAAGCTTAATAATAATATTGTACACATAGTTCATTGTCCTGAAGAATTGATGCCATCAATTCGTTTGACCCAGCATTCGCTTTAAAAATGTAAGTTTCTCCATTCTAGGGATACCTAAAAGCTCTGGGTATGGCAAGAACAGCCGAAGTTAAGAGAGATGCCAGAATTGGAGAAGCGGAAGCTCGCAGAGATGCTCAAATTCGTGAGGCCATTGCAGAGGAGCAGAGAATGGCAGCTCGGTTTCTAAATGATACGGAGATTGCAAAAGCACAACGAGATTTTGAACTCAAAAAAGCTGCTTATGACGTGGAAGTACAAACAAAGGTGCTTCTTCTTTCCTTTACAATTGTTATTGTGACACTATGTTATTTTTAATTTTTTTTTTTTAATGTAATCGATAACACAGTATGAAAGACAAAATTAATTATAATTTTCTTAATAATTGATAAAAGCTTTAAATAATTTTTTTTCTTCATACATATTACTGAATGCTATTTGTTTGTTAAATATTACTGTTCGCCACAGTAGGAAAATATTCAATTCAAATTGAAATAACTATGACTGTGAAAAATAGATTACATTTTATATAAAAAAAAAAATTAAATTTTTTATAAAAAAAAAAAAAAAAAAAAAAAAAAAATGATTACAAAAACTTTGTTAAGCAAAAGTATGGAATTACAAATAAGTGTTGTTAATTTATAAATTAACGAAATCGGTAATTTAAAAAATGGCAAAATAATTTTTATAAATAATTTATTTGCTAAAATATTATAAAGCATTGACTTTACTTTCAACAATAGAAAATGGTTTTTTCTTTGTAAATTACTTTGAGTACTAAACAATATTACTCAGCGGTTACATTATTAAATACAATTTTAATTAAATTGAAATATTGAAAATATTAAAGCAATAATTATTTTAACATACGTGGACATATATGTAATATTGCTTTTTACAGAAAGCTGAAGCAGAAATGGCCTTTGAGCTTCAAGCAGCAAAAACCAAACAACGAATTATGGAGGAACAAATGCAGGTCAAAGTTGTCGAACGTGGCCAAGAAATTGCTGTACAAGAACAGGAAATGATGCGACGCGAAAAAGAATTAGAAGCTACGGTTCAATGTCCTGCTAATGCTGAAAAATACAGGTTAATCTTTTTAACAATTTGACGCTCTGTATAAATTAAATATTTGTTTAAATGAAATTTAAATTTTAAATGAAATTAAATGAAATAACTTCCAATTGTTCATTTGATAAAGGCTGGAAAAGATGGCTGAAGCTAATAAATTAAAAACCGTAATGGAAGCTGAAGCTGAAGCAGCAGCAATTAAGATTCGTGGAGATGCTGAGGCATTTGCAATTCAAGCTAAAGCGAAAGCAGAGGCTGAACAAATGGCTAAGAAAGTCGCAGCTTGGAACGAATACAAGAGTGCTGCAATGATTGACATGATGCTCGATACTCTTCCAAAGGTAATAGCGATTACTTTATATTGTATAATAATATTATATGAAAATAAAATCGAATAATAAAAAATGGTTATATATATATATATATATATATATATGCACATATACACATATACGTTGACACAAATATATACAATTCATTTACATTAGTCAAAAGCTGATAAAAAGTGGTATTAAAAAAAAAAAAAAAAAAAAAAAAAAAAAAAGATAAAAAGACAGGATATTTTTATTCGTATATATTTAATTATATAATAACATATAAAAATATCGTATGCTGTAAAAATATTCTCCAGTTACTCTGAATTCCCCCAATTAAAATTTTGATTTTATTTCGTAGTTTTATATGTTTATGATTTATTAATTATTATCAAAAAAATTATTATTCTTAAATATGAGTATTCTGTATTAAAAATTTTATATTTTAGAGTAAAATAATTTATTGATTAACATTATTTCCTTATTTTCTAACTGTAAAAAATAATAATAAAATATGTACAAGAAATCTTGATCCAATAGCTAATGATACGTTATTTGTTTCGTAGGTTGCTGCTGAAGTGGCAGCACCACTTTCGCAAGCAAAGAAAATAACAATGGTGTCAAGTGGTAGTGGAACAATTGGCGCTGAGAAATTGACAGAAGAGGTTTTAAATATTGTAACTCGTGTTCCCGAGCTTGTGAAAAACATGACTGGCGTTGATGTTGCAAAAGTATGTGTACGAAGTCATTGACTTTGTCCACCTAGTCATCTAAGAGCATATAAATAAGTCCGCGGAATATTCGCTAGTGTTAAATTATGTAAACACCTGATGATTTAATTATTTATATATATATATATATATATATATATATATATATATATATATATTTCTTTTTCTATTTCGTTACAGTTTGTAAATGAAGCATAAACGATGCA